ATAGATAGATAGGGCTGAAGCCTTTTAAGCCCCCTATTTCCTGAACGAGGAGGAGGAGGAGGGCACAACCAAACTTGCAAGATTCTGTTATGCTAGCCAATCTCAATAAAAATAATTTTAGTCAATTATGGAATTCATTTCCTGGTCCAGTCTACCTAGTGGGGATGACATAGATAATCTACAGGGTCTCAACTTATGACCACAATTGAGCCCAAAATTTTTGTTGCTAAGATAGTGGTTAAATGAGCCTTTTCCCATTTTATGTCCTTTCTTGCCACAGTTATTAAATGAACCACTACAGTTGTCAATTTAGGAACATGGTTGCTAAGTGAATCTGGCTTCCCCATTGACTTTACTTATCAGAAGGCTGCAGAAGAGGATCACACGGCCCTGGGACACTGCAACTGTCGTAAATATCAACTCGTTTCCAAACATCTAAATTTTGATCATGTGGCCAGAGGGATGCTGCAATGGTTGCAAATGTGAGAAATGTTCATGTCACTTTTTTCAGTGCTGCCCTAACCCCTAACAGTCACTAAATGAATGGTTGTAAGTCAAGGACTATCATGGCGGTGTAGTGGTTAGAATGCAATATTGCAAAGCTAATTCTGCCGACTGTCAGGAGTTTGATCCTTAAGGTTGACTCAGCCTTCCATCCTTCCGAGTTGGGTAAAATGAGGACCCAGATTGTTGGGGGAAATAGGCTAACTCTGTAAACTGCTTACAAAGGGCTGTAAAAGCACTGTGAAGTGATATATAAGTCTAAGTGCTATTGCTCTTGTGTTGGCACTGGATTTTTCAGGCACTTTCAAACCAAAACAACTATATAAATAATCAAGGCCGAAGAAGAATACATTTATCTCACCCTTTTAAGGTGTCAAAAGTAATTATTTAAAGTCTGTTCCTAAAATCAGAACTGGTCACCTTATTACTATTTATAATAGTAATAAATTTATTAACATGCAGTATTTTCATTATTACAAACATGCTTAAATCTTCTAAAAGATATAAAATGCTTAAAATCATCTTAAAACAACCAAATAAGCTTAATTATTCTAAATCAGTTTGATTATGTATTACTCTTTAACCTAAAAGCTGTTACATATAATTAACAGCAGCCAGGATTAACTCATTTGCTTACTATCTACAGCGCATCAAACATAATAATAAAATTCAATATTATCTTACAGTAACTCGGCTGAGAAATCTTGTCCAAGTGGTACGTAAATTTGAAGTACCAAAAATTGCTGGATCAGTCCAACTACAGGAAAATAAAAGAAATAAATTAAGAACAACATGAATATTCTTGTATTACTTCCATATTTCTCAAAATATATCTATTATAAAAATAAAAAAAATAGAATTTAATTATTTTTGAAATATGTTCTTAAAAACAAATTGCGCTCCGAGTAGAACTAGAACAAAACATGGAATCTAATTATTTTATTTAGTTTTCCACTGTGTTGACAGAGTGCATATTCAAAATATATTCTACAAGGACACAAAATTGATTAATGTCTTAACATTGTGACACAAATTCTTGCAAAAATGCGTAATAATTTGAATCTACAGATAACCAACATAAACTTTAGTTGAACCACTTAAAGCAATTAATACCCCAGCAGAATCGAGTTTAGAAAAACTGTGGACAAGTAAGGGTTTAATTTAATCTGAATGTTCGAAAGGAAATGGGTAATTTAAATTGGAAATTTAACAGCAAAGGGTCTTGTAAAATCAAAACCCACTCACAAGCGAAAATGGCTTTCAGGAATAAAGCCTGAACAAAATCTGAATGTATTACCCTTGAGGCTTCTTTAACACTCGTATGAAATCTAAATAGAAGCTGCCAATCCTGAAAGACAATCCTCTTAATTTTCTAAGACCATCTCATTGTGAACCTTAATGGAACTGATGCTCTAGATACTTATCTGTCCGCCTGCCTGCCTGCCTGCTTTGGTTAGTCAATGGGTTAGTAAGTCTCCCAAAAGATCTTCTATTTACCACTTTCGCGAATCACAGGAATCAGGGAACTATAGCATAGCACAGTGATGGTGAACCTTTTAGGCACCGAGTGGCCAAACATCAGTGGTGGGATTCAAAAAATGTTACTACCGGTTCTGTGGGCGTGGCATGGTTTGGTGGGTGTGGCAGAGGAAGGGTAGTGAAAAATCTCCATTCCCACCCCAATCCAGGGAAAGGTTATTGCAAAATCCCCATTTCCTCCTAATCAGCTGATACTCGGGAGGCAGAGAATAGATGGGGGTGGGGTCAGTCAGAGATGGTATTTACCGGTTCTCTGAACTACTCAAAATGTCCGTTACCGGTTCTCCAGAACTGGTCAGAACCTGCTGAATGCCACCTCTGGCGTTCATGCCCAAACTGAATATGTGCATGTGTAATCATGCACGCATGCCTGTGCGGAGATGCACGGACATGCATGGATACACAGACATGCAAACATGCCTGCATGGACATGTGCACACATGCAGCAGAGACCCAAAGACCAGCTGGCCGGTGGGAGATCCCAACACCAGCAGCGTTGCAAGAGATAAGATCATTTTCTTTCGTTACCTTCTGTTCACAGGGAAACAGAAGCTCATGAAAGAAACACCATGGAGATCTGACCGGGGCAACGGTGTGCATGCCAGCAGAGGGCTCTGCGTGCCACCTCTGACATGCGTGCCATAGGTTCACCATCACAGGTATAAACAATATTTAATATGAGAACAGCAACGAAAAAAATAGTTCTAATCACCAAGTTAAACAACTACAGGTAGTCCTTGACTTACGACCACAATTGAGCCCAACATTTCAGTTACTAAGTGAAACATTTGTTGAGTGAGTTTTGTTCCATTTTACGACTTTTCTTGCCACATTTAGCGATAGCAGTTAGACTTATATACCGCTTCATAGGGCTTTCAGCCCTCTCTAAGCGGTTTACAGAGTCAGCATATTGCCCCCAACAACAATCCNTGATTTACAGAGTCAGTATATTGCCCCCCAAAATCTGGGTCCTCATTTTACCCACCTTGGAAGGATGGAAGGCTGAGTCAACCTTGAGTCAGGATTGAATTGCTGACCGTCAGCAGAGTTAGACTGCAATACAGCATTTTAACAACTGCACCACCATACAGAATATGATCCAATATCTAAACTAGTGATTTACAAACATTGCATTTTATCACACACTGCAGAAGCCTTCGGTGAGAATATTCAAGTGTCATTACTATTATGAAGTGATTTAGTTTGCAAACACAGGTAGTCCTTGGCTTACACCATTCATTTAATGACCTTTCAAAGTTACGATGGCACTGAAAAAAAGTGTTTTTTGTCCACTGCAGTATCCCCACTGTCACGTGATCAGATTTTAGGTGTTTGGCAACCAACATATATGTACGATAGTTGCGGAGTTCCAGGCTCCTGGGATTGTCATTTGCAACCTTCTTAGGGAGACTCTGGCAATTCAATGGGAGAAGTCAAATTCTGTTAACGATCATAGATTCACTTAACCACAACAACAAAGAAGGGCATAATATTGGGTGTGATTCATTTAACAATCACCTTGCTTAATAACAGGAATTCTAGTCTCCATTGTGGCTTTAAGTCAAGGACTGCTTGTTAAGAGTTTCTAATATATAAGCCTTGGAACATGAAACTAGGGGGACTTCTGGTGCACTTCAACCAGAAAATACAAAAATAAGTAACTTGTAGCAGACAGAAGTCCTTGGAGATGTTCATGAAGTCAAGCTCACAACTGAATTTGCATTTTCTTTTTACAATGGAGAATTAGCAATAGCACTTGGACTTATATACCGCTTCATAGTGCTTTACAGCCCTCTCTAAGCGGTTTATAGAGTCAGCATGTTGCCCCCAACAATTTGGGTCCTCATTTTACCCACCTCGGAAGGATGGAAGGCTGAGTCAACCTTGAGTCTGGCGAGATTTGAACTTACAAATTGCAGGCAGCCGGTGATCAGCAGAAGTAACCTGCAGTACTGCATTCTAACCCCTGCGGCAATTTAAATAATTAAATTATTTTAATGATGGGATGGGGTAATAATTAAGATACTAGACCAGAGCAAGGGGGGCTGAGGTGCTTATCCTCCTTTAGGCAAGGAAAACACCTGGATACCTTGGCCAATCACTCTTTCTCAGTTGTATTCATCATCAGGCTTAGAACAGAACAGAACAACAGAGTTGGAAGCAGGGGTGAGATTCTACCAGTTCGGACCAGTTTGAGTGAACCGGTAGCTCCGAAGATCAGCTGAGAGTGAACTGGTTCACTCCAACTTTCAGGTGGACATACCCACCCCTGCGCTATACCAACTTATATTCTCTTTTTTTAGCCCAGTTGATAGGCGCAGCAGAGCGGTTGGTGTGCCTCAGCTGTTTTACTCACCAGGGCTGCAGTAGAAGGTAAGCTTTTTAGCTTTGTTTAAAATCACTGCGCACGAGCAAAGTGCATGTTTGGTGCGTGTGTGAGCAAAGCGAGCACGCATGTGCAAAGCACGCGCTCAGTGAACCAGTTGTTAGACCAGTTGAATCATACCAGTGGTTGGAAGGGACTTTGTAAGTGATCTAGTCCAGCCCCCCCACCCAAGCAGGAGACCTTACTCCATTTCAGACAGATGGCAGTCTAGTCTCTTCTTGAAAGCTTCCAATGATGAGGCTCTGTGACAAGCTCGCTGAAAAGNGAAAAACGGGCCGTTTTTTGCACATTTTGGGGGGAGGGCCACCCCCTAGGAGAACTCTATAAGTCTCCTAAAGGCTATTCATGCTCTTTTTTAAAAAAATGGGCCTGTTTTTGCGAAAAACAGGTTGTTTTGGGGAGGTCTGCAGAGTGGAAAAACTTCTTTTTTGAATTTGCCTCTTCAAAACCTTGGTGCATCTTATACTCTGGTGCATCTTATACTCTGAAAAATACGAGAAAAATTAGAAAAATCTCTCTAAATTTTTGTTTTCAGAAGTATAATTATTTCTAAATGAATTTAAATGGCCCGTTTCCTAGGCCCTTTGCAAAATGCAATGGGTTAGGGTTATTTTTAAAGACTGTTCAGTACAGGAAAAAAAGACTATTTACTGAAAACTATTGGATGTGAAGTTACATATTGACTTACTGTTGCAACAAAAATAGTGGTGTTATAGCAAACAATGATATGACTATCAGATAGAAAGATTTCTTCCATCTGAATTCTTAGAATTCTCTCAGTTTACTTTTTAATCTGGATATCAGCCCCATTCCTGCAGTCCCATGCAAGGAGGGGAAACCCTTTCCGAGGGCTGTAGGAACATTTCAGAGGATAGGGGATGCTTGCTGAGAAAACTTTAACTCTGCATAGAGCTTAAACCAAACAGACAGGCAGCCCTTTGGCTCTCAAAGAGCTGCCTGCTGCAAGGATTTCAAGCAGAGCTGAAATCCTTTGGCAGATAGGTCTTATGTTTAACAACCTGGGAGACTGATTAATGACTGCAACTGGGATTGGAGTTGTTGTGGGAAGCATGTGGGCATCTTGCTCAACGACCGCTTTGCTGAGATCCCAGTCCCAATTATGGTCGTTAAGCGAGGAGTACCTGTACAGGAAGGGATATTTCATTCTTAAACAGAGATCATGTGCATGCCTAAACTATCCTCTTTTAAAATGCCCTACTTTTCTTCTAAAGCAAAGAATTTACTGTTTGTTTGGGAATGCAGCTCAATGTTTTGTTCAGAAAAGTACCCAACTAGCCAAGAAAGACAAAAACAAATGGTTAGGAAGAAGCCTGGGAGCTAAAGTCCTAATTAGGAACTGAAGTCCTAATAGCAAACAAATGTTTTGTGACCAGTCATGCCCCTTATGAAACCAATCTTGCAAGGAAGCAAAAGTCTCTCAGGGCAGCCATTTTTCTGAGAATGCCCAAAGAGGGCATTCTTGTTTTAAGTATGCTATATTGTGCCTTTAACAAAAACTTAACGCAGTGAGTTTGGAGCAGCTTTTTTTATTTCTTTCTACCGCTTTTGCTTGTTCTCCAACCTTTCTCGTGTTTTTGTACAACCTGGTAATAAGTATTTATTTGCTCTAGGACTTATTTGAGTTTAAGTAAGTGGCCAGCACTTACAGGGTATGAGCCGCTTGTCTGGATTCTAATGGAGAATTAGTAAAGCAGTACCTATACACTTCAAGGCCTTTTTTTCCCCACTTGTAATTCAAGGGAATTTATCCCAGAAGGGGGAATGCTGGGAACAGAAACTTCATTTGCATTTGGCTGCAAGTAGGATAGTAGATTTCTCTAAGAAATTGTAGGACTCGAGAAATATTTCTTGTTACACTGTATGGGAAGGAAGTCCTAACAATATATAATTCTTTTGAAGTTTTTTTTAAAAAGACACTGCAGTTTCAAATTACATTGAAGATTTTTTTGTCAAAGGCTAGACTGTACTGCACACCTTGCAGGAATGCTGCGTTTTAATATTATTCAGTTTGAAAATATGGTAGACGTTATGGAAAGGTTCGTCACATAACTCAAAAGATCATCAACAGTGAATTTTAGTCAATACCTTTTGACATAATGACAGGTTTGTAATCAATATAAAAGACAGAAAAATAAAGGAAAGCCTTTTGAAGATCCAATGGTAGGAGAAAAAAATTAATATATCCTATGCAGCTGAAATAACCAAAAGCCATTTTAAGATAAGTACAATTAGATTAACATCCACCAAGAAGTGGCAGACAGTAATGATCACTGGAAAGAAATGGAAAAAGGCTTCTATAAATGTTTTTAGATCTAAGAAATTACAAGCTAAATGCAGCAGTAATCAAAACTGAATAAGTCTGTGTCTCTGTAGTGGGGTAGTAAATTAGCCTTGGAATTGTTTTGCATTTGAGAAAATCTTGTCATAAATAGGCCACAAAAAGTCAGAAAGCATGTAAATCAGGTCACTGCACAGTAATGAAAAACAATATAGTATTTGTGATTAGATATAAGCAACTTGTTTAATAGAGAACTATTAGAATCTACATCTATTTATAATATAACTGAAATATCTTTCTCTTTCTGGTTTACTGATGGTTTACTGATTTAGCGTAAAAGGAGATTGAAGAAAAAATTTAATTTGATACAGGAGCTGAAGAAAATGCTTTGCCACAGAAAACATTTTGGTAGTTGTGCAGTAAGAACAGCCTTTTAACGGATGACCTAATCCTTATAATTTATGGAGAAGTCTTTATGCACAATGGTTGCTAAATGTCAAGCCTTAAACTATATTATTGTTTTGTTATGAAAATTTCTTCTCTTCTTGTATTTGGAAGGACAGTATATGAACCTTTGGCTTCAGTGTGTTTGAGGTTTTAACATAAGAACAATTGTTTGCTTTCTAATGTTTTTACGGCCTTGGTGAACTTCAAGTCTTCAGCATATACATACTGATTTAGCAGCAGGCTTCCATCATTTATGGATATAAAAGGTAGGTAATGCTTGATAGATTATATGACAAATGGAAATATCAAGGGTAGCTCCCAAAGAGTTTAGTTATTGCATTTAATTGAGAATGCAAATTTATGAAATGTTACGTAGCATTAGAGTATCCCTACAAATGAAGCAAGCCGGGGTCATCTAATAGCTATAAAATATTTTTTGCTTCTTGTTGATGAAAACAATAGATGCTGTTGGGTGGAATTGAAAGAATATTCATCACATTTAACTACATCTTTGGGATGATATCACTTCATTGTTTGCTCTACCAACTTAACAAATCCTGGAAAAGTATTCAAAGAAAAAAAAATGAAAAACTCTTTGACAATATAAAAATGATATATATTAGAGCTGTACCAATTCAAAAATTAAACATTCCAGAGAAACTGGAAATTGCCAAACCATCCCTAAAATTCAGGGAAGATTCAACATGGTCTAGAAAGACTCACCCTATTTTGTTTTACTTTAGTGCTGAAGAAATACAGCTAAAACTGTAGCTAGCCGACTATTATTCAGCTAATCCAATACTAACTTAATTAACAGCTAGGGCTGTGCTTAGCACTAGAAACAGCTGCTTCACAAACACCTTGGTGTAATCAAAATATCTCTCCAATAAGCATTTAACACAACTACGGCCTTTGGAATGATTGTGTAGCTGCTCCGAAAGCAGCTTTCCAGCTACCTTCCTGTTTGTGTGCATGAACAGTCAATTCATTTAGTGAAACATACAACTGGGGAACAGCCTCATGAATCTTCGGAAGGGCAAGGCTGCTTTGAAGCTTCATAAAGGGATGTTTGGTTCCCATTAATATACTTTGCACACCACTTGCTCTGAAAACATCATACAATCTAATATGTTTTATGGCATTTTATAATATTTTTACACTTACGAGTTTGCTTAGTTTCTTTCGGAAGCTGCATCTTATTGGTTTGACCGCTTCCTTCCAGCACAAAGACAAAACCTTTCACCTCCTTATCATATTCCTAACAAACCAACAAAAAGTGTTGTCATCATCACATGATTAAAAATTAGAATGGGAGACAGAAATAAGAGAAAATGGATATATTCATGTATACACTTTTATATAAAAAATAAGAACAATGATAAGAGTAAATATGAAATAATCGAATAATGACAGATTGCGACTTTAGATAAGTATGTATTACCATTAGAAATATATAAGTTGGTTGAAAGTAATAACTATGACTAATGCTATCAGTTTTATTTGTATTAGAATGTATGACAACCAGGTGCCACACTGTTCACGCATTGATATATTTGTAAAAAGAAACTAAGCAAATATTTCACGCAGCTGAGTAAATACCATAATCTGCAAGATTTATTAGTCATAATAGCTATTTGCTTATTGCCGAAATGATTAACCACACTCATACTTTGTAACTGTTAAGTTGAGCAATGTTTGGTTTAGGTCAGGAATTGCCACTATGCTTATATGGTATTTTATAAGTCTAATACAAGTGGAAAGCTGGAGTATCAAAATGCAATGGATGCTAAGCCTGTACTCTGATGTCAGGAGATAATATATGTTAAATTCATTATCCAGTATAGCATACTTCTGAAAATGCAAACAGGATTGAGTGAGAATAACACTTTCTTGTGAAAAATCGCTTTGCAGTTAGGATATCAGGGCCATCTTCTGCATACTATGTCAAAACATCATCCTTCATTTCACTAACATTTACCATATTCATTTTATTGGTTTTTCTGTCTTGACAGCAACCTGCCATATTAAAACAGTTGCTTGCTTCACCGTTTTATCCACACAAGAAAAGCCTGAACAGCTTCATGCAATTAGTTTAAGTAAATGAAACTAAAACTTAATATTTAGGGTAAATAATCTATTTAAGATGCTGACCATGTAGGTTTCAGGACAACATCAATAATTACTTTCCTTCCATCCTTCTCCTTTGTATCTCTTATTTTGTGAAACATACCTGATACCTGATCTTGAAAATCTACCGTGTTTTCCAGAAAATAAAACAGTGTCTTATTTTCTTTTGACCCCCGAAATAAGTGCTTGGCCTTATTTTCGGGGAGGTCTTATTATTTTTGAGGTGCAGGAGGTGGCGAGCATGGTCATTTCATGGCTGCTACTGTGTTGTAATATTTTGGGGGGGCTAATTTTTGGGGGAGGGCTTATTTCAGCGCATGCACTCAAAAGCCCAATTGGGCTTATTATCCGGGAAGGTCTTATTTTCAGGGAAACAGGGTACCCCCAAACTTGTGTGTTTTATTTAATCCTAATAAATATATTTCCTAACTAGGATGTTCATTTTCTTAATAAGACTAAAAGAGTTTGTTTTATTGTGTAGAAAACATAAAGACGCAAATAAATATCCTTATCTTGTAATACTGCACAGTGTCATATAATGTATATGAGATGGGTGGCTATATAAATTTACCAAACAAAAATAAATAAATATCTCCCCCCCCCCACGGCCAAAATATATTCAAAACCTACAGAAACAAAAACCTTGGAGATCTTAAATACACAAAAACCTAGCGCATTTTATCTGCATGTAGGCATCAAAGAGTAATTCCTGTTCTCAGTTATTCTGCTCTGATTAAAAGAATGATATATTTACTCAAAATGTTCATGTTTTTTAAAGAAAAAAAAATCAAGCTCTATACTTTTTAATCAAACTTTTACCATTTCTTTCCAAACATACTTTCCCTATTACTGAAGGATTGCCAGAAATTTTCCATTTGGTCCCAGTGTTCTTGCCTTGAGCACTGAAGATTTCAACAAATGGGCCACCCTGCAATTAAAAAAAGAAAGAATCTGTCCCATTGTCATAAGAAATCAACAAGTGTAATACTTCATTCATAAATAAACTTATTCCATATTCATTCTTACAATCAATACAAAGTTTCATTATAAGCTTATTTCATCTGGATGCTCTACTGGCAACAGAAACTAGAAGTAGTTTCTAGTTTATACTAGCACAGTAGATGTACTCTTTTGTGGAGAAAATGGATCATGTTGCAGTAACTTTCCTTGTACTGTAATGTAGTTGGCTTTGGAAAGTGTGCAAAAACTTCACCTTGTCAGAATTAATTTGGGCTCTCTAAATAGAACATATTATTTTAAGGTGCTGTGGTTGCCTATAAATCTATAAACCTAAAGTGCTGCATGATAAAGGACCTGGTTATTGGCAGAACTGCCTATACCCCACTATATCCGTCCATCCTACCAGATCTAACAGTGTCCCATGCTCCAGGTCCCTTCTGTGAAACAGTGCCATCTAGTGGGCAAAGATATGAAAAAGAAAAGAAAGCAAAATAATAACTTATAAAACAGTATTGAACGACTGAATAATACGGGACATAAGGACAATACGAGGTACAGAATGTTGGGAAGATCATTATTTGAATGTTTTAATGGTCAAACTGTGAAAAGAAAAAAAGAAAGAATGAGAAACAGAGAAAGAGAGGAAGGAAGAAAAAGAAAGGAAGGGAGAAAGGGAGAAAGAGAAAGAAAGGAAGGGAGAAAGGGAGAAAGAGAAAGAAAGAAAGGTAAGGAAGGAAAAATAGTGCATACAAGACAAGTAAGAAAAAAAGAATAAAAATAATATGGCAATGGTAATGTAATGAAAGGTGATACTGAAATTGCTTGTGACAGAAAAGATTTATGTTACAGAGTGCCATAGAAATGTGAAATTATGCTAATAGGGAGCATTAAAAAGACGCTTGGTAGTATGATGAACTGAAAGAGTCTGTAGATGAGAAAAATATGTATACAGAACAGCAACAGCAAAAATGAGGACGAGAAAAAGATATACCATGTATGCAAAGAGAAAAAGACAACTGCAGAGAATTTATTGAGAGGAACAGTTACACTTAGAAGACTGAGAAAATCACAGAATTTTGATGGAAATGATAAAGAGTTTGGGGAGTGAAAAGAGTTGAACAAGGAGCATCCATGAGAATGAATAAAATCAAAAAATAAAATGATGAAATCACTGGTGATGATATTGAAGTGAGGGAATGTTGGAAGCAACATTTTAGAGGTTAGCATGGCACTGATATACATCAAAGACTGGAATTGAAATGAATGCTGTAAATGTTAGTATGCAAGAAAAAAGAAGATGAAAGTCATAAGACGTGAGAATATTGAAAAGTAATAAGGCTGTAGGGGTGGATAATATAATGTTAAATATGGATATGATTTGCTTATAGAGTAGCAGTGTGACTGGTTTAACATTTGTATGAAGTCTGACAGTTGGAGGAATTATTGTTCCTCAATGTAAAAAGAAAAATAGTAGAAATAAATGGGAAAAAAATACAGATTTATATGGCGCCCAATTGGTAGTGTGACTTGGGTAACTAATCTGTCATTCAATTCAATATACCAAAAAAGATGAAAACATGAAAGAAAAAGGCATAGTCGCACTCAGGCCACTCTGCACAATTAAACTTTTTTTAAAAAAAACAACAAAAAACAGGTTCCTCTAATGCCCAGACCAAAGCACAAGGAAATAATAAATCTTCAAGAACATTATTTGATAAGCAGTTGTTATGGGAATAAATGGCATGCTTATTTTGGGTTTGTGAAGGTTTTAAGACTAGGATTTCTGATGGCCACTTGATTGTTTAATATAATTATGTTTAATGTTTAAGGAACTGTAGGGACATTAGAGCTGTGTTGTTGGAGCTGTGAATGCAAATTATGCTTTATTGTTGGATGAGAGCCACAACAACTTGCAGCGAATGTTGGAAAGATTGTATGCAGTGTGGAATATGAATCTAAAAATTAAGTTAACAAAGAGGGCGGAGACTGGCTGATAAATGAACGTGGTTTGAATATAAACTTGAGTGATCAATATGAAAGACATTTGTTGGTGTGGGTCAGGCATGCAGACAAAATGATTGAGCAACAAATTGCAAAAAATGGTATGTGAAGGATGAGTTTCTTCAAAGCAAGGAGAACAAAAAACCTGTGGAGGGTGGCATACAATTGATGAGACCCCCAAAGAGAAAGCAGTGAGCATTTTAAAGAGGAAAGTGTATGAAGCTGGGGTAGAAGCAAGGAAGGTTGGTAAGAATAGACATATAGCAGTAAAGCAAACCGTGTTGGTATAAATTAGATTCCACTCTATTTCCTTTCCTCTTATCTCATGTGTTTACGATTTCCTTCTCATTTTCCATGCTGTGAAGAAACTACTTATCTTGAAAGGCAATAGCAATGAAAGGTATAATATGTATTGAATAACTACCTTAGTATGGAAACTTTGTGACTTTTGTTGCTGTTTTGTTGGACGTTATTATATGCACATCTGAATAAAGGTGTGATCATTATTTGGGACTGACAACTGTATGTTAGGATTATTTTTTACAATATAAATTGTAAGCTCACTCATTTGAGAATAGACTGTTCCAGAAAAGTCCCAAACATTCTTTTCTCCTGGATATTCTTAGTGGGGTTCTGCAATTTACAGATGTAAATCATTTGAAAAATAAACTGAGATATCCTGGGATAATTGAAACCCTGAAATACACTGTGGTGTCCAGACTGCCATATCCAGAACACATTGAATATTTTAAAATCCTACAGAATACAGCATTTCTGAGTTGATTATATTGTTCTACACTGTGGTGGTTTTTAACCAACCAATATTAATTCTTAAATTGTTTGTATGTAGAAAATTGGGTATTTAGCATTACAATTTATGAAACCAATGTTTTGCATTGAGTTTTGAAAAAAATGGGAATGAATATATTTGGCACTTACTATTTAATCACTATATAACTTCTCATGTTGAGGAAAAATAACTTGGAATAATATGTTCTATATACCAAGTCCCAGTAACTGTAGCTTTCTCGATGAACTGAATATTCTTCAGTGTAAACTCATTACCATAATCTAATCTGAAGGCTATCAACTATGATCAATCCCACTTAATAAAAAATAGCTAGGATAAACCAGTCCTGCTATTTCTTTCACTCTAATATATAGGAGTGGGATTCAATCTGAAATACAAATAAGATCACAACCACTGCCAATTATCAGTGTCAGATTGGATTTTACCTGCAATTCATATAGTAGGAGATTGAAGTATTTTAGAACCCACTTCAAATTCACATAAAGTGACAAAAAGGGATAAAATGTCTCCTCAAAACAAGCTGTGCACTCTAAAGATTTTAGAGTTCTCTGCAGAAATTCCTTTGCAACAACTTTGATATGGGAAAAGATTTTTTTTATTTATTTAGCTATTAAATATATAAGTTCCCTAAATGTTTGTATTCTGTAAAGTTGGAAGGGACAATTTAGGTCACTGAGTCCATCCCACAAGCCCAAATTAAAGTCCAAATTAAAGAATTTCCCTTTCTTGCACTGCTATCCCCAATATCTATCCAGCCATATCAGTTATCTATCATACCTGGGTGTGACATTTTCTGGACTCTCCAAAAAATACTTCTATTAGCTTTTACCAATTACAACCCAACCTGAAAATGTATTGCCAAACCTACATCCACAAACTTTATAATTCAGGCAGAGAATAATACATTGGAAAAAATATTATGTTTTTCTAGTAATTTTATTAAAAATTGCAATTAAAAAGATAAAACTAGTATAAACTAAAACAGAAAAGAATGACAAGAAAAAAAAATCAAAATTACAGAAAAAAAGGAAACTCTTCTGGTTTATTTGTATACCCTTCCTGATCAGCTGATGTCCAGTGTGGCATCATTTTCCATGTTTTTGTTGTAGTTGTCATTTTTAAATCCACTTTCAGATCAGTTGCAGTCTTGTCCAGTAAAGCTTGTTGCTCTTCCATAACATTTTGAAAACATGTATATAAGTAGACACTTTTAAATTTAACTTCTGAGCCTATTTTCAAAAATATCCTTTCATATGCTGAATGTTAAAATCTTTTCTTCTATTCTGTAAGTCAAATTTAAGTGTTTATCTCCTTTAATAGTTATCTTTAGTTCCTTCTGGTTTCCTCCAATGTCCAATGTTCAAAGTCTCATTCTGTTTCTTTAAGAAATTTCAAAACAAAAACATTTTCCCGTGAAAAGAATTCTTATGATTTACTTACCGTATTTATCGGCGTATAACACGCACCGGCGTATAACACGCA